CTTTTTTGGGGCCTTTTTGTTTTCCACACCAGGCAAAAAATTAATTCCAGCCGAGTATTTAGGGCCCTCAAACAGCCAGGTTTTGAGAAGCCCCAAACACCGAAGCGGGTGTCGTTTTGGAGGGGTCGGGTCTTCCATGGAAAGCCAGGAGCCTCTGGGTGAAATGAATACGCTTGATTGTCCCGTGATAGTTTTCAAGGGAATCACTTTTGGCAAGAGGGGGAGGGGGGTCCCTAAAACAGACAGACCCTGATGGCTTGTTCATTGAGAAAGTGGGGAAAGAGAAGGACCTTACCTGAAAAGGGACCGCCCTCCAACAGGATTATCCCCGCCGAAGTAGCATGTGGAATTATATATGGAATGGCGGGGTACACTTGGGGGGTGGGGTCGGTTTTAACGACGACAGTCATCGATACCGCCTAGCACAAGACACTCTGCAGAACAGCCCACTCGCAGCAACAGCTGAGTTATTTGCTGGGCCGACTATTTCAAGACTGTTTCTGGGCGTCAACGAAGCGCTAGACATAGCTGATATGTAACTCGAGAAATGCAGGGAATGAGAAATGGAATGACCCCAAGACAAACCATCCAACTGGTGGTTTCCTTTTTGCGGGGACCCAGGTCCTTTAATATAGGGGACCCCAGGTTCATTCCCTCCCTTTTGAGCGCAGGAGCACAGCCAAGGACCCAGGCCTGGGTAAAACGAGCCATTTCTCATTCCCTACCCGATTTCGCAGCAAGGGAAGCGGAACTCAAAATTCCCTTAAACGTGAGTGTTTGCCCCAAAATGATGGATGAATTCCCGTTTTTCTGGGTAGTCCTCAGAATTCCCTCAGAAAATGGGTTGACCTGATCCATTTTTAGTCGTGGCAACCCAAAAGGTGATATTTGTTTTAACAGATGAAGCGCTTTCTGGGTCCTAAGAATCCAAATTTCCCCTGAAACAGGGTAGTTTTGCATTTGTTTGTCTCATTCATGGGGTGATTGCGAGGAGATCAAGAAGGTGATCCTTTCGGTGATGCAGCACCTGCCCTGGGGGCACATGATTGAGGCGGATAACATGCACGTGCCGGGGCCCTCGGCTTTCTGCTTTCGGCTTCGGCCAGCGGGGGGTTTTCGCCAGCGCCTGGGGGGGACCCATTTTTCTCTTCAACTCACTCCCTGAGTTCACGGACTTGAAGACGTGAAGAAGAAAAACAATTGAACAACAACTTTCGGAAGTGAGCTCTCTCCTTGAGTTCAACTGGACTTCCGACAGTTGGGCTTGGTGGCCATTTTAGTGGCAAACAGAAAGCCAGTCCGCTCAGGAAGTGAGTTTCATGGACATGGCTTCTTGGGTCGACAACTGGCCGTGTTGACGGACGAACCGACCGACCGTTCTCGGCCAAGTCAATCAGAAGGTAACTCGGATGTCAATATTTGCTCAGGGAAACCAAACGGCGGGGATACAGGGGGAGCCAGGGATACGGGAGGATTCCCCCTAAGAGCACCTGGACTAAGTTGGATGTGGGAAATGGCGCCAAGAAAATCCCCCCAATATCCCCGCTCCCTTCGTATCCCCGCTTGTTCGTTTGTCCAACTTGTCAAGGTCACACAGGCCCAACCTGCCCTAGCGCAAATCGGCGGAACTGTCCATTGCGCCTGGAGGTTCCCTTGGGGTAGTTCAAGGGTTAATTTTGGTCCTGTTGCAATAATTTGTCCTTTTGTGACACCCCGCTCCCAAAGCGGGTTATTCCCAAACCAGAAGTGAGGAACTCCCAAACCGGAAATCTTCACACTCGGGTGGACGAAATCATGCACCACCTAAGAATCCCTGAAATGATGGTTCCCTGCAAGTACCAACAAATAATGGCTTCAACCATGGATTCAAATTGGTGCGAGTTATGGATTTCGTAACCGCCCAAAGCATGAGCTCATTGTGCTCAAATATGGGGCAAAGGGGCTCCACAGACTGGCTCTCATTCGAAAAACGCAGCGAGCCGAACTCTGAGTTTCAGGCAGATCCCGCAGATCTCTATTGAACCAGATCCTTTTCGCGTCCTGAGCTTGTTTCTCAACGAAAGCCACCATGAACCCAAGCCCCGGCTTCTGGTTGGACTTCTCCCCGGGAAGAAAAGACAAACACAAGAACTGCTCCCTGAGGCCGTGTCCCATGGGTTGCCATTGGGCAGTCACGGGGTCACGGGGCGGGCTCCAGGTATTTGCCCTTCGCCCTGCAGCACTGGGACGTATTGGCGCCCGCCGCCCCTTTGCTGCGGAAGCAGAAGCTGGACGCGCAGCAAAGGCGCCACAAGGCGGGGGACCGCGCTCGGAGCGTGGCCTGGAATGAGTTTAGGGATCCCCGGGTCCCTTTATTTATGGCAACCTGATTCCCTATGTAAAAGACCTGATAAATGGAATTTGCTCCTTTCCCTTAGGGTGGGGATGCAGAGGGCACAGGTTAACCGAGCCCACCCACAACCACTCAGGGGACAAATCTCATGAACATGGGTGGGGGGAAGGGGGAACTTAGATCCTGGAACTTAGGGTCCTTGTTATGTTAGTTTGGTCGAACATAGATGGCGCTTGCTTCAGTTTGGTTGTGATCATTTCCTGCCATTTTGGTCCACCAGGACCAGGCCCTTCAGCAATGAGCAGATTGCAAGCTTGGGATGGGACGTCTTCCCACCCGTTTCGAATTTCCTGGTAGCCAACTGGGGGACTCTCCCCTTCCCCTCTGCCTGAGGGGGGATGTTTGCATCACCCTCCCTGGGCGTCTTTCTCATGCTTGCAACCGTTCTCCGGGTGTATCTTTGGTGAAGGCCTTTCCCTTCCAGGCGTAAACAAATGTCTGGGTCGACAGCTGAGCATGCTCTTTGGGTTGGGTGCAGCTTTATATCTTGGATGATTTGTTTTGTGGATGTCCTTGAGTCTGCCAAGTCTGGAATGGCCACTCAAGGTCACTCCTTGTTGTATTTGTTTGTCCTTTTGACCGCCCGGACCAGTCGCAATTCCACTCAAGTGAGCCTAACCTTCACTGTTCTTGGCATGTTTTTTGTTTTAGTTTTTTAGTTTTTTGGTTCTGTTCATTTTTACTGGGGGTCTGCAAAAAAAAAGGGGTTTTTTCCTACCATACCAAGAGTAGAGATGTAACACTAAGAACCTCAGGTGAGTCGCCAGGAAAGCCCGGGGTGTCCGAATCCATCAGGCCTTGCTCGCCTTGACAGAGTCCAAGTTGCCTCTGGAAGGCGTGTGGTTTCGACGCAAGGGGCACAAGGAGAGAACCTCTCATGTTTGGGTCACTCGAAAACTGAAGTGATGCCCTTCCATTTGCTGAGTTCAATATTTGTCATATTGACCCTTCTTGTTTTTAAACGGGAGCCTCTGACTACTGGACATGTTTTTTGTTTTTGTTTTTTTTTTAAAAAAAATTTATTTAAAACAAACAAAAGTCCGCGGGACAGAAGCAAATGGAGGAAGGGTGACAAGCTTTGAGGCTTTTTCGGAGATCTCCCCCTCGTTTTCTTGGGCACTCCTAGGTCCGTGAGTGTTTTGCAGAACGGGTTGCCCCGTCTTTTTTCTCCAAGTCAAAACTCGCAACCGGTGATTATTATTGTTGACCCCGTATTAGTTTGTACCCCCCCCTTGAAGGTCAGAAGGTTCTGGTATTGCGGGGTGTCACCCGGACCGGACTACTATGGAGGGAATTTTTACTACAACGTCAACATTTGTTCGTTCATGTTAACTGGTGTCACCGGGCGGGAAATTGCGAGTTGCCGAAACGACTCAATGCCGAAACGAATCGCCCAGAATAGACCAACGGATTTCGATAAAGATTCGGCTGTCCAAAGCCAACCTTTCAACCTTGTGGTTTTCCCATGTTGGGTAACCATTTTTAGTAGAGGTGCCAAAAGGTGATCACCTTTTAGTTCTGGGTCCTTTGGGGACTGAGGAATACCTGGGTCCCCCAGCAATTGGTTCCCTTTCTCACCGTTCCTTTTTTGGGGGAGGGAGGGTTCCACGAAAACAGACTACAGAAAAACTGGTACGCTTATATTCTAACCTCTCGACTGGAAGACCGAGATAAGGTTTCGGCTGTTTCATTCCCATCAAGTTGCGCTCCGGATCGTTCAGGTTTCAGGCGATGGATGTCCGCTGAATGTGCCCAATTGGCCCTTGCGAACGCCATGTCTGCCAGCCAACACGTGGTCTCTCCCAACAATTGTAGGGTTTTTGTTTGTTTCTTTTTTTCCCCATCGGATGTTGTCTTCATTGTTCTTCACATGTTTTCGGTTTTCTTTGGTCCTGTTCATTGTTACATCGGGGCCCGGCTTGAGGAAGCTCCAAACAAGCAGAGGTCCACAGCAAAGGGTCTTTGCCAAGCCGTTTGGGGCATGTGACTTCTGGGCAGGGGTAGCCTGAGTGCTCAAGGGGTACGTCATGTTTCCGGGAGCCCTTCAAACGAGTGGTTTTCCTTTTGGCTTCCCTTCGCAAGCCACAAAAAACGGGTAGTGTTAAACAACGACAAGGCCAAATAGCCGATGAATGTTGGCCCAAGAGAATCTAGGGCAAACAGGGTGAATGTAGATGGCACAATTCCCATTTTGGTGTGGGCCAGGGGATGACTTGATCAAGATGAGGGACGTGTGCGATCCATTTTCGCCTAAGTGCAGTTTTTGTTTGTCCACCCTAAGGGTCATGACCCTCCAATGCACATCCCCGGACCTTGCAATGGAGACCCCCGACCAATTCGTCAGTGGCCCTTAAAAAGAAGCAGCTTTGAGGGCCGAAAAACCATCGAGACCCTCAGGACAGACCCCCTATCTCATTCCCTGAGCTCCTATGAACAAGCTTGTTGGGAAGACAATGTTAGTGGTGTGCGCTCTCTCAATACACCGAGATCGTTTGAAGGCTTTAAGGGTTGGACAGTGGAATCCTAGGGTCGAGGGGTCCTGAGGGTTTTAGAATTCCAAATTTCGGGAGCCATAGGGACCCCCCCCCCGCCCTCTGGCATCCACAAGAAAAGGGTGTTCCTTGTTCCTTCACTTCGCCAGGCCCTTCCGAGTCCCGAAAACGGAGCAGATCCAGAGATCCAACCGACGCGCCGGCGAAAGGCAAGTTGCAAAAGCGCCTGCGCGCGCCTGCGTGCGCTTTTCCGCTTTTCCGCTTTGGCGGAACTCCCAACATGGTTTTACGGGTGAGTTTGGTTGAACCCAGTTGATCCATTTACCTGTGTAGTAGGTAACCAAGGGCTTGCCACCCTTTGAAAAAAAAGGACAATGGCTGGTGAACTACCATAATTAAGGGTAACTGGGATCCACTGATTGAACAGACGTACACAAATGGCTAACCTGCCGCACACCTGCCGAGAACCTGTCAATCCCCAAATCCTTTTAGGGGGTTAACTACCATGCGGCCTCTTAATAAAGAATGCAATAGCACACTATTCGTCTTCATGTAAAGTGATTTTGCGGTGGCAACACTTTTTGCATTCGGCTTGCGACCATGCCATCCAATCAGTCGGGCGAAATAAGCTGCCCTCGATTGAATCAAACCACGGAAAGCAGCTGGATGGAGGAGGATGGAGGAAATCCTCTTAGGCAGCACCGAAGCAACCCTGGAATGATTCGATTCCCCAACGTCAATTCCACCCAACGTTATATTTTGGGGATGAGTTTCCTTGTCATAAACATCCCTGTAGTGCTGCCTTCCCCATTCTTTCCAGGGATCCGGATCTTTCCAGAAAACCTCCGGAAACCCAGGGAAAACAGATCCGGTTTTCGAAAAACAGCGATGGTGGGAAAGAAGACAAGGAATCAACCCGATCCCAGTTTCACTGGTCCTTTTTTTGACCCAGAGGCTCCTGGCTTCGGCTTTCAATGGAAGACCCGACCCCTCCAAAACGACACCCGGAGGTGTTTGGGGGTCTCAAAACCTGGCTGTTTGCTTCCCCAGAATTAGCTCCCCTTTTTCCTTTTTTGCTTTTTTGGGGTTTGTTTTGTTTGCCACTAACCAGGCAAAAAAAATATTTTTTTGCTGGGGTCCTAATTCCAGCCTAGTTTGATGGCCCTAAATACACCGGGCACGAAGGCCGCAGTTTCACCCTCGATCTGAGGCTCAAGAAGATCGCAAAGGAGGATGAAGATGCCAGCGCGCCTGCCTCAGACTGGGCCGAAAGGCAGAGGGCCCTCGGAGTTTGACGCAAATGAAACAAACTGCAAGAGAAACAAAACGCAAGTTAAAACTGATCATCCATACTGTGGATGGTGGCGAATCCATTTCGTCCAGCCTCAGTATTGTGGTGCTTGATTTCAGGAGAAAATTCCTTGCAAAGCTTGCTGGTGCTCAGTAGGTAGGCAATGACCGAGTCTGGGTGTAGATGAACCGGTTTTGGGGATTCCCGAAAAGGAAAGCATAGGGGGTGGTGTATAGGGCTCATTCATTCCAACTCATCCCTGCTGAGAGACAGCAAGAACACAAACGAGCCATCAGAGGTGACTGTTTTGGGTGAAACTGCCCCTGTTCCATGCGTTAATTTGTAGGAAAGTCTGAATGGCTTCCTGAAGCAGACTGGGTGCTAATTTTGTTTGGGAGGTGGCAATGTAAAGAACGCGTTTATTCCTTAGTTCTAAAGGATGATTCCCCATTCTTTTCAACCATCGTTCTTTTCAAAAACCAGCCGTTTTCGGGAGGTTTTCTTGGAAGAAGGATTCTTGGAAAGAACGGGGAAGGTACCCCTTCTCTGAAGGGGCATCAATCATCAACAAGTATCAACAAGTAATGGGGGGAGTCCAGGATCAACGCACCCCTTTTTGGTACCCATATGGCTGTGGGTCACAACCAACGGTACCATTTTGGGGTAGGCGAATTCACCCCCCATTTTAGTCTATTTTAGTGGGGATTGGGATGTTCACTGGGGGTACGATTTGGATTTTGACCCATATTTGGTAAATTCCAAAAGGTGACCCCCGAATGAAGACACCAATGCAGAGTTTCAAGGCTTCAAGACCAACGGTTCCCATGGATCGGCTAATCCGTGTAGGGATATTGTGGATGGACGAAATCCATTTCGCGCCAGGTGGAAACCATCGGAAGCCATTTCATTCGTGGTATTTACAGAGGAATCATCAGAAACCAGGGTTTCGTAGGTGGTGCAGGATTTCGTCCCTTCACAGTGTGTAGGGAACCCTCAAAAAGGGGCTGTTTTCCTTCGGGGTGTCCCTGAACCAAACCCTCCAGATGCAAAAAGGATCCCCGAGCCCCAGAAACCGACGAGCCCCAGAAACCGACGAGCCCATGCCCGGTTTCATCCCAGTTGCAAGCCCTTATAGGTAACCTGTGCCATTGTCTTTTTGGCTTGTATATCGGGTGGCAAGCCCTTGGTTACCAGGTCAATGGTAACGCCATTTTCCTTTTGGCTTGTAAGCGCATACAATGGATCCCAGGCAAGCCCTTGAAGCAGGTGACCCTTCGCCATTGTCCTTTTGGTTTTGTGGCAAGCCCTTGGTGACCTACAAAACCAGGCTTGCATGGATCCACTGGCGCACTTGGCCAACATCTTGTAGATCTGCTTTTTTGGGGGAGGGGGGCGGACCGCACCAACATGGGGTGGTTGTCCTTTTGGTAAAAAAGGGGCATTCCTTTTGACCCGCCGCAGGCTCTCCTTTTGCACCTTCAAAACCAACCAAGGAAAACACTAGGTCCTCCAGTAGAGAGGTTTGACTCAGGGTACCCTTCTTTGTGTAGTCTATCTTAGCAGGGGAACCCTCCCAACCAAAAAAGGAGTGAGAAAGGGCACCTAGCTGGGGGACCTAGACTTCCCCAGAATTAGCTCCTTTTTTGTTTGTTTTCTTTTTTGGGTCCCTCTGTTCCACTAACCAGGCCAAGATATAAAAACAAAACTGCTGTCCTAATTTCAGCCTAGTAGAGTGTAACACGTGGGCACCCTCAAAGGATGCCTCCAGGGCATGTGAGTCGCGAAGCCCCAGGTCCGCCTTGCGGCCCTGGATGCCTTGGCTGCAGTGGCGGGAGGCGAGTCAGCGAGTCCGCCGCCTTTTTGGCCGTGAGAGCCTCACCCGAGAGCTCCCCCAAAAGCCATGAAGAAACTATAAAAAAGAAGAAAGGAACCCTCCCCCCCACTCCCCCAACCCCCCCCCCAAAAAAAAAGAATGAAAAAAAGGGGGGGGGGAAAAGGTGAAAGGACCCTCCCCCCCACTCCCCCAACCCCCCCCCCCCCGCCAAAAAAAAGAAGAAGAAGAAGAAGAAGAAGAAGAAGAAGAAGAAGAACAGAAACACATGGTTGTTCTTGTGGCCTGCCTTCAAAAACCAACCCAAAAAGGCAACGGGAGCAGAAGCCTAGGCGAACCAAAAAACGGAAGCATTCAACGGTAACCACCACTCAGTTGCCCAGAGGATGGGACCCAGAAAGGTGATACTGTGGATGTTTTGGTTGGATCTCCTGTATGGTTGCGAAATCCATTTAAGCACCACCGTTCAGAATCCTTCTAAGGAGGTACTTAGACCCCTTTTTAACCCCTAAAAAAACTTCAAAAGCCATCCTCATGAGGTACTTGCTGTAAATACCCACAAGCCATGGTTTCAACCAGGGCTCCTCAGGTGGTGCGAAATGGATTTTGCAACCATCCACCACCTGTGCCATGATTCTGGGAAACTGCCCGCCACTGGCGCCCGAAGGGCCATAGATTCATTTCCAGCCGCATTTGTACAACACTTTGACTTGCTGGCTCTCAGCAGGGAAGGAGGGAATGACCCCGATAAACAGGTATCCCTCATGCTTTCCTCAACACCCTTGGTCCTTCCCAGCAGACTCTGGCTCTTTAGGGAAGCCACAAGGTTGTTGCCCCAAACCCAGCCCAACCCTGCTGTTGACCTTTGGTTCTTGCATGCGTCCGAAAACTGGGAACACTGTTGATCAGACTTTCTCTCACTCCCTGAGTTCCTGGACTGTTAAGCTTTTTGTGAAGGCCAGTTTGGTGGTAAACAAAAAGCTTCGACTTTTTTTGGCCCATCCACTCAGGAAGTGAGGAAAAAGGAACCCAGTTGACCAAACTTTCCCAAAAAATCCAGGAATTCGCGACATGTATCAGGCAGCCGGCAGCTGAAGGACGCGGCGCTCCTCTCAGACTTTCAGACAGGCAGCTGTACCCTAGTTTGAGGTGATCCTTTGTCAGCTTCCATGTTAGTGTGAGGAGGGTAAGCCCCGGTTGAACCTAGTCAGGGTTGTTAACTATGCAGCAAACTCGTCACTATAGCTGCCTTCCCGCTAATGCCCCTTTGGTTTTTTGATGTTTTTTGTTAGCTGGTGGTTGTGGTTTGGGGATGTCAAGTCCTGGTGCTTGTCGAGAGGAAATGAGAAACCACCTCCAACCTCCAAACAGAGCTGCAAACCATCAAGTAACAGAAAGCTGATTTATGACGAATCCTGGTATGTTGAACTGAACAATTCACCCAACTCCCACTATAGTCGCCTTCCCGCCAATGGTGAGGCAAGACGAGAGCTCCCGTGCCCCATGTAAGCCCCTCAGTTCCCAACATGGATTTCGGTTCGCTGGTCGGTGTTTTCAGCGGGCCAATTGGAGAAACCACATCTTTCAGGGGATGGTTTTGAGAAACACCCAATAATGACTAGTGCACATGTGGGCATAGGTGCTTGGAGCTTTCATATTAGTCTCAAGGTAGGTGAAACCGCGTATCATCAAACTTCACCGGATACTTTTTCCAGCATACCGGCCCAGAATGCACCACGCTTCCCAAAGACACCTCCAAGTTTGCACTCTTTAGTCATTCCAACGAGGGGAATTAGGCTCCTCTGAGGCGCTCTACCTCATACTGGACGAGGATGACGCGGCATTCTCGGCGGGGGGTTGGGCCGAAGCGTGATAAGTACAAATGTGTTCCTAAAGGGTTCCTTGGTACTGAGTACCAAGAAACGGCAGCGGCTCAAAATTAAAGAGCCAGGGTTACGCAGGTTTTGGTCCATTTTGCCACTTACCAGGGTTCCATTTTGGGTGCCGGTTTTTGAGCCATACCCAAACCCTTGGGGATGTCTTAGGTAGTGCGGGACGCCGCCGCCGAGATCTTGGAACATTTAGACCTCGAGGCCGGTCCCTGGGTTGGGTTGAAGGGACTCTCACTCTCTGAAGGGGTACTAGGTCCCCCAGCTGGGTGCGCTTTCTCACCCCTTTTTTTGGGGAGGGTTCCCCTACTAAAATCGAAATAAGAAACAACAGGTACCTTATTCTACCCTCTCTACTGGAGGACTTAGGGTATCTATATCATTCCGTTTGCCGAAGAGTATGGTTTTTCCTCGTTGATTTGAAAGGGAAAAGATCACTAGACTGGAAATCGTAGATTTTTCCCGGGCTTCAGCAACAAACCGTATCTCAGTTCATCTCACTCCCTGAGTTCGTGGACTATTTGTTGGGTTTGGAGGCCCCCTCCAGGCAGTGGTTTCTGTTTGGTGTCCCTTTAAAACTGTTTCCTTGCATGCCCCAGCCAGAAAGGGGTTCCCTATTTTGTGAAACACCCATAAAGGGTATCCTTTCGGAACCTCTTGTTAAAATAATTGATTGTTTATTTGTTTGGCCGGAGCTAAGGTGAAGTATACGAATGACCTGCACAGCGGTTGCACAACCATTGCGGGGTATGACAGTCTTATGGCTCAGCACTTGGTTCGCCCAAGTTAGTAAGTCTTTGGTAACTTAGGTTGCCTGCTTACTTTCGTCCCCCAAGTTAGCCTGGTTGCAAATAGGGGGTATGACCTACACTTACTATCCCGGCGAACTGCACACCTAAGTAAGCCTTTCCGGCCTGGATGATCGAATTTCCACTTTGAACCCATTTCTATCCCAATAACCAATTCTTACCCCTCCCAGTGGATCCATTTACCTGTGTAGCAGGCAAGGAAGGGAACTACTCTTCAACACACAAGAGGAAGATCACTAGTTACCAAGGGCTTGCCTGGGATCCACTGTATCCTAGGGCCCCGGTGGGAAGGTCCTTGTCGGTGTCTTCCGGTTTGATCGGTGGCTTGCTGCCCTGGTAACGCGACACCCATCCAAACGGGAGCAATAAGTTTTGAGTTGTTCAAAGCCGACGTTCTAACCTTTTAAATGTCCCTTTTTGGTTCACTTTTAGCAAAGGTCTAACCTTCATTTCCAGGGGCACCTGAGGTTAACCTCTGTGTCCAAGGTCTCAAATGGTTAACCTCAAATGGTTAACCTCAAAGGTCTCTGAGGGTTCCCCTTCTAAATAGACTACAGAAGAAAGGGTGCCCTTGTTTCTAGCCTCTCTGCTGGAGGACCTAGTCAGAAAAGGTTAACCTCTACTTCCAGGTTTTTGAGGGGCCAGGGAGAAATTGGGGTGAAGCCAGGAGCAAGAAGCTGAGGAGGAAGAGCATGAGCTTCAGGAGCTGCAGCCGCAGCAGGCGGAGGAGGTTCGTGAGAACATCCCAAAGGAGCTGGGGCTTCAAGAAATGGCTCGCATGAACCAAGACTTCCATTTGCTGAAACAAGTATTTCCCCATATTTCCCATATTTCCCCATATTTCCCCATATTTCCTTTGTTGGTGTTACAAAAGGGAAATTATTTGTCACTATACTGGAAATGCGTTTTGTCCCAGGGGAGCTTAAGCAAATGGAAGAGCTCATTTGCATTGTCGCTGTTGGCGTGGTACGCCGAAATTTGGCCAAGCTGTTTGTGACCAAAAGGATATCCTTCTGTCGACCCCCGGCCTTCTTACCTTCCTTGAGACTCAACGGCCCGGTCAGCACGAAGCAATTTGTTTGGTGCAGACATGGGGCAGACATACTGTGGATGGTTGCGAAATCCAGTGGGAATTATCAGTTTTGTGCGGTTTCCCTGATGGTCATCCCATGTCAAGTTTGATCAACCCCCTAAAGGCCTTCACCGGGGATTGATACTGTGGATGGACAAAATCCTGCACCACCTAAGAAACCCTGGAATGATTCGATCCACCCTGTAAATACCAACAAACAATGGTTTCAACCATGGTTTCCAAGTGGTGCAGGATTTTGTCCATCCACAGTAGGGTTCGTCGTTGGATTGTGATAGATTTGTTAAGTGCACACCGGTCCTGGCGAGGCTCGTTGACTCAATGTGTCATTCAGGTCACATCAAGCGCTTTACGAGAACCACTGGCTTGAATCTTCTCGTTTGTTGGGTTCCCGCCTTTAATTTGTGGGCGACCTAAGGGGCTTTCTGCCAGCGAAATCAAAACCAGGGCCAACACCTGGGGTTTCGCGAGAATGCTTTGTGGAAACCCTGTTGCAGTTCAAGGTTCGGCATGCTTTCGGATTTCAGGGTCTCATGATGGGAACTCCATCGGACCCACGTATGGTGCCGCACTCTTAGGGGACGTACTTGCCATTGCTTGCAACGGTCAGCTAATTAGTTTGAACGACCTGTTTTTGGCTTTTGCCCTTTGCCGCTAGTGAGCTCCGAAGCTGAGCGTCTGTGTCGACCAAAGCTAAGTCGCCTGTTCTCGTGTTGCTTTATGCTCCCCTGCTAAAAGTGACTCACTTTTAGCGGTTTAGTACGGAAAGCCCATGAGTTGGATCAAAAAGTTGTTCAGTCAACTAACCGCCCTTGGCAAAATGACACCCAAGTGTTGGTCCCGGAGCTCAAAGTTGCAGGAGCCTTCCGAAGCCGAAGCTATGGCGCAAGAGGCGCCAGGACGGATACGGATCCGAGACGCATTCCGCGGGCTGGGGTGGAGCTTAAGGTCGCTGGCCGTCCGGCGGGGATTCGATCAAGCCCCCGGCTGACGCTGCTAACCTTTTTGAGTTCTGGGGTGAACATGGCAATACATTTATACCAACAACCTATACTTCCATTTGTTCAAGAATATTTGCTTTTGTTCCCCTTTGGTTTCAAGCTGAATCCACTTTCACTACTGGACCCACTTTCTTGCATTTTTCTCCGGGGGGCTTGTGACAGCCCTCCGCATAGTTGTGGGATGTATTGCTTTGAGTATCAAGCGGATCTCGATCGGAAGTGAGCGGCCAACTTGTTTTTGGGGGTGTCCACCCCCGTTGGAACTCACTCCCTGAGTTCTCGGACTTGAACAACTTTTCGGGTTTGGACCATTTCAACGGCAAACACGTTTGGCGGCTTTTTCTGGCCAATCCACCTGCCCTAAGGGTCATGACCCCTCAAATGCATACCCCAGGACCCTCCAATGGAGAACCCCGACCAATTCTTCAAAGCCCTTGAGAACAACCAGTTTTGAGGTCGAGACCCTTAGGGTGGAAGTAAGAGAAACGGCTGCTCTGTGTCATGGAGCGAGGGAGCGGCCCGAGTTTTCGAAGGAGTGGTGCAGACTGAGGAGGCCGGATGGATTGCGTTGGGGTGACATTCTGTGTCTAGGTCCTCCAGTAGTGCGCTTTCTCAGCGCTTTTTTGTTGTTGGGAGGGTTCCCCTACTACAGTAGACAGAACAAGTTGGCACCCTTATTCTAACCTCTGTACTGGAGGACCTAGGTGTGTTGCTTTTTCTCTGTGGGAATGAACCCAAGGGTCCCCTTAAAGGAAACCACAACGGATGGTTTATTTCAGGGTCATTCCAACTCATTCCCTGCTGAGCACGAGCAAAAAGCTGGCGGCAGCTTTTCCCCCATGGTTTAGCCATCCCGCCCCTTTGGAAGAATGTCATTTGCTGGACGTAAGTTAGCTTTTTGTGGGCTCTAAGTCATTGCGGGCAGTTCCATCTTGCCTGCAGAGGGCCTTAGCCCACGTTCCCTTTGAAGGGATCCGAACTCGGCCATGCCACATTTCCTTGGAAACCACCAGCTACATGGTACCAAATTTCCCAGACACCCCCAGTTTCTTTTGCTCAAGATTTGTTTTGAATTGCTTAGGTTAGTTTAAAGGGGACATATCACTTTTGGACATATTGTCATTTTAGATGGTGTCATTTTTTAGATTGTAACTCATCAAACTGCCTTGGCCTGACCACAAGAGCCTAGTAGAGACCATTATGGGGCCATTGCCATTCAAGACCATGTATCCCTGTGCATGTGTTTCTCATTTCCAGTCTTCGGCTTTCGTCATGGCTTGTTGTTCCATGTCCCTTGTTCTATGCTCCTTGTTGGGAACCACTTTGAGTCATGCTCCAAAAAGTGATGACCTATTTGCCCACGCCGGCTCCCTAGACATTTCCTTTGCATTGGATGGCCCTTGCAGCCCCCCCCCCCCGGCTTCATAGCGACCGGCGCTTGGGCTGGCTTACCTTGACCCATCCTCACTTCCCCAAAGGTTAAGGTTCCAAACGTCGCTCAACACTATCATTGTTCCAAGTTGTCTATGTTCAACATATTCTTGATGCAAACGTTAATGATGTCAACGTGTCCAGGCCTGGAGGGCCCCCCCCCCCGCCGCCCCACTTGCCTTACCTCCTTTTTCTGAGGTCATAGCTTTGCAGACTGCAAAATCATGCACCAAGAATTGGCATGAACCCCTAAACCCCTAAACCCCAAAGCCCCTTAAACCCTAAACCCTAAACCCTGAGAGAGCTGCAGTGGTGTTGCGAGACTGCCCTGTTGGGGGGGGGGGAGGCATGGGGGGCTACTGCGGCATGATATATACACCTGATATAGTGGGGTTATGGCTATGCACTCCGCATTCGCCTGGGTTTACGTTCCAACTCCCATGAAGAGTTTGTGGCCCATGACTCAGAAGACAGGTGCAAGTGACTCTAATTCCATTCCAGTCCTCAGCCTTCCTTTTCTTCCATGTCAATTTGACTTTCGCTTGCCTGCTTGGGGCTTGCGAAGGCTGTGGATGCCTTTGGGTGCTAACCACCAAGGAAAATTAGCAGGGGATGGGTATTGTTCGATTCTTCCAGACCCATGGTGGGTGGACAGTGCAAAGGGCCCTTTAGTTTCGCTTGGGAAAAAACCAAAAGGGGACGGGTATGTTTAAATTTGTTCAATCCCGTTCTGGGTGGACAGTGTCAGTGCCCTATAATGGTTGCCATGGTTTTGCGCACCCTAGGTGTTCCTGCACATTCAGCGCGACGGCCAGACGCACGCGCACCCCGGAGACGAAACCATACCAGTCTGGACAGTTCTTTGAGGCAATGGCTGATTGGTTTTTCCCCGAGGTCGCCCTGGTATATAAGGGGGGGGGGAGACCCCAACCACACCACCACACCACAGGAACCTTGGGGGGGGGGGGAGGACTGGGAACCATGGGGGGGAGGGGGGGGGGGGCTTGCCTTTTTTTCGCGAGATCGTGATGTTTGCAAGTGACACTCCTCCGAGTAACATGGAAGCTCCCAGAAGGGCTCTCTATATGGAACCCAGTCAGCTCCCGTGTTGAGCAGACGAGAGAAGAGGTTCATCACTTGATCCTGGCTTCAAGACTTGGTTCCATTTGCAGAGGCCTTCTGCGAGCTTCCATGTTAGTCTGAGGGAGAGTAAAACCAGCTTTGATGTGTGCGTGACTTGCATTTCAAGCTGGGACAGGGTTGTGGGATCAAGGGCTTCTGTGATACAAGGGAATCCCCTGTTTAAATAGGGGTGGTAGTCTTTGGGAGACCCTTTCGTTGTATGACAGAAGTGGGTTCCATTTCCCGCAGTCCTGGGCTGGGATGTCATTGGCGAAATGTGTACCTGCTTCCAGGGTGCCCCTTCCGAAAATCGCTCAAGGAAGCCCATGGGCTCCCTGCGTTTTTTTTTTTTTCCGCGCGTCTCAGGCCACCCCAAAGTTGTTTTTTTTGCGCAGACTTCGAGGTACGCCGCGCGCCCGAAGCGCGCAGACATCCCCTCGAAGCGCGCAGACATCCCCTCATGCCCCCTCCTGTGCAAGAACAGCCTGGCTAAGCTGCGGGATGGGCCTGGATCGATGTTGCAGGGTCAATGCCAACCGACGTTCTGGTTTTAACTCCATGGGTTCCTTAGGTGCGATTTGTCGGATTTCGCAACCATCAGCTATGGAATTGTGGGAGAAACCAAGCCTGAATTTTGAAGGTTGGATCTGGGCAGGGCGGTGATCTGGGTCAGTTTGCCGCGGCGTTCCTGACAGCTGCAAGCTCGCCAATGAACCTACCCTCGGAGTGCGGTGCCCTTTGGGTGTATCGGCAACGGGAAATCATTTGTATATCTGTATATATGTGTATATGTATCTCCGTATATTGCATTTCTAGAAACACATTGCATATCTTCACATACGTACATACACACACACACACACACACACCAATTCCGTACGTACATACACATGTCAGGGCATATTCCATGCGCTGAGGATCCCGGTGCAGCTGGACCGAATTGCCGGGGGGGGGGGGTGAAGGGGCAGCGGGTAGCGCGTGTGGGGCCAAGATCTGAGAGGTTTTTCTGGATGTTTGGCCCCTTAGGGTTGAGCTTAAGGCAAAGGATTTGTGCCAGAAGGTTCTCGTGGAAAAGCAGTGATGGCAACGATTGTAGCGCTCTTGCCCCACCACCTGGCCCTTGGATGACGCGGTTTCACGTGCAAACTAGACTTAAAAACAATATGGCCGGCCGGCAGTTAAATCATTGAATTTGCCTACACTGCACTCGACTTTGCAAATGCCACTGGCTGCATGCCACGTGTTTCTCAACCGCATCCCTTCGGCGTGCGACGGGCCAAGTTGGTGGTTCGTAACCAGTCACATGGAACCAATTGAAATGGCATCGGCTTTTCTCTTCTTGGCGGTTCCCAGGCGCACCCTTTGGTTTTTAGGTTTTTAGGGTTTAGCGGGGGTTTCATTTTATCCACCAAGGTTATTGTTTTAGCAGGGGATTTGACGGACAGCCCAGCCAGACCACCGAAATGAAATAGCACCGAGGAGGAGCAGCTCCAAAATTTGCTGAAGACATGTCTAGGCGTCAACGCCCAATTTTGGGCACTTTCCAACTTTGGGCAAAACCATCTTAGTGGCGAACAAGAGAAGCGAACTTGTTCTTGGCAAGGAGGTTAACGCCAACTTGGGCTCAGCGTTTCCTTGTGGGCGATGCCATTTGAGCACTTGCTGAGGGATTTTTACCCCCTGGCAGTGCCGAATGTGTTCGTTGTGAATTTTCCCTATGTCAGCCTCCATGAGGAGACGTAGATGGAGGGCTGCCCTCCCAG